CAAATGTTCAAAGGTTACAACAGTCTAATGATATTGCCATTAGTCACAATTGTTATCTTAATGCTAAAGGCCTAAAAAGTACAAGTGTTTGTAAGAGCCTTCATGTGGTTTCATAGTGCTGTGTGAAATGTAGATGTCTCTGCTTGTTGATTGGTATTTCATAATTCCAACCATGGATGCTTCATATTCAACGTTCCAACAACCCTCTTTTGTATTGAATGCAGATAAAGCTAAAGTTTAACAGTAAATTACTGGTTCCAGCTGAAAGTAGTGCTAATCCAGGTTGCTAAGGGCAAGACATAATTCCTTTTTTAAAAAGATTTATTTATTTTTATTGGAAAGTCAGATATACAGAGAGAAGAGACAGTGAGAAAGATCTTCCGTCCAATGATTCATTCCCCAAGTGAGCGCAATGGCTGGTGCTATGCCAATCCGAAGACAAGATCCAGGAACTTCTTCCAGGTTTCCCACACCAGTGCAGTCCCAAGGTTTTGGGCAGTCCTCAACTGCCTTCCCAGGCCACAAGCAGGGAGCTGGAAGGGAAGTGGATCTGCCGGGATTAGAACCAGCACCCATATGGGATCCTGGTGCGTTCAAGGTGAGGACTTTAGCTGCTAGATCACACTGCCGGGCCCAAGATATAATTCTTAAAACAAAACACTTATAGATTTTAAGAAACTGTTTCTAAAACCACTTTTTTGTCCTGTAATATGTGTTACCTGGTAAGCATGCTCCTAACTGGTCTGTTCTAATTGACTTGTAGATAAGAATGTTCATAAATTAAGATTGGCTAACCTAACAATATTTTTTGGGTTCCCATGACTTGAACAAATCCCTGATATATTAGGGCCACAGAGAAGTTCTCCTGTATTCTTCAAATGTTTGAGGAAGACGCTAAATATGGCTATAATGGCTGGAGCTGAGCCAAAATGAAGCCAGGATATAGGAATTTCTTCCTGGTCTCCCCTGTGGGTGCAGGGTCCCAAGGTTTTGAGCCATTCTCTATAGCTTTCCCAGGCCACAAGCAGGAAGCTGATGGGAAGTGGAGTAGCTGGGACGTAAACTGCTGCCCATATGGGATGCTAGTGCTTGCAGGTGGAAGATTAGCCAGTTGAGCCATTGAAGCAACACTGGCTCTGCTAATCCTGCATCCTTTGAGCAAAAGCTGTGTTCTATTCTTTTTCCCAAAGGAAGGACCTAATTCTGGCCTGTGTTTGAGGGCTTGATATAGGAGCTGTAACATTTCCTGTATCTAAGGATCCATACCTATTAGCAGGAGCTTCTGGGTCTCCCATGCAGGTAAGGGTCCCAAGGTCATCCTCCATGCTTCCTCAGGCCATAGACAGAGAACTGGTTGGGAAGTGGAGCAGCCAGGACACGAACTGGTGCCCCTGTGGTGTCTGGCGCTTGAAGGTTGAGCCAGAGTGCCAGCCTGAAAAGTCTGTGAGGAGTGAGTCATCCTTAGCTACAGGTGGGCAAGCAGAGTCTGCATCAAAGAATGGAAGGAAAAGAGAGTTATGGAGTGGAAGAACAATAATGAGGGAAATAAAGGATAAAAGAAGGAAAAATAGGCACAAGAAAGACAAGAGGCAAGGCAGAAAAATGATTCTGGAGTGCAGTTACGGCTAAGGCCCTTGGATGGATCTGCCTTACTGGTTCAGGTCTTCATTAGCGATATCCAGAAACACCAGCAGATGGAGATCTTACTCAGGAAGAGTTTGCTTGATCTGTTTCTCTCCCTGCTTCAAAAATCAAATTTTCTTTCTTTGAAAAATGATGCCAATAGAGCACAGCAAATGTCTCTGCACTCACAAACCACATTTCCAAACAAACATGCTGTGATAAATTCTGCCTCAGGCTACTTGTTATTCCAATCTAGAAGACACTGTGGGTTTTTGCATTTTGCTCACTGCTTAGGTAAGGCTCCCTCTGTCTTGCCAAATCCCAGATACATGTATTTGCATATGTATGCACAGAGCATGTCTATGTGTGTTTTGAACCCCTGTAAATAATTAAGCAACATAGGAGTAAATCACATTCTTTCAGCTGCTTTATTTTAAAAATTTTAGAGATTTATTTGTTGTTATTGGAAAGGCAGATTCACAGAGAGGAGAGACAGAGATCTTCATCCACTGGTTCAGTCCTCAAATAGATACAATGGTCAGAGCTGAGGTGATAATAAGCTAGGAGCCAGGAGACTCTTTCAGGTTGCCTATGTGGGTACAGGGTCCCAAAGCTTTGGGCCATACTACACAGCTTTCCCAGGTCATAAGCAGGGAGATGGATGGGAAATGGAGCAGCCAGGACACAAACCTGCACCCATATGGGATGCTGGCATTTGCAAGGGGAGGATTCAGCCATTGCACTGGCCCCCGCTATTTTTTTTTTAAAGAATTATTTATTTAAAAGTCAGTTATGACAAGGCACGCATGCGCGCGCGTGCACACAAACATACACACACACACACACACACACACACACACACACACACACACACGGTTGGGGAGGAGAGAGAGCTCTTCCGTTTCCTGGTTTATTTCCCTTGATGACTGCGACAGCTAAGACAGCCAGGCCTGAGCCAGTAGCCTGGAACTCCAGCCATTCAGATCTCCCATGTGGATGCCTTTCCTTCCCCAGATACAATCACTCTAATGCTGAATGCTTGTGGGAATTCTGAGAGCGTGTGCTTTCCGTAGACGGATGTGATTTTTGTAGCCACAGAGCGGGCCACCCTGAAGACTTGGAGTAGATCTGTCTGACTGGCAGAGATGTGCCTTAAAAGGGGAGCAGTCTGGTATGGCAGTGTTTCCCACACCTTAAGTACACACAAACCACGCATTGATGACCATTCAGAAGCTCCAGTGAGGCTACAGATACAACCTTGCTGCTGTTACCCTGGACCACACTTTGAATAACAACTGGTTACACTCCTGGATCTTGAAGCATGAGCAGTTTTGCTTTTCACAGCATCTTTCCAAAGGACGTTTTTCAAGAACTATAATTGGTTCCTTATAATCCCTGCCATCTTCTTTGTCACCTCTTAACTTTAAGTGTTTTCATTCAACCAATACACATTTACTTAGCATCTGTTGCATGTTAGCCCTGTGCCAGTTGCCTGCAGCCAGGAGTGCTAAGTTTCTGAGGTTCAGGGGCTGTGCCAGGTGTCCAGGATTAGTGATGATTCTGGCCCTTTCCTTGCCCTATCACTCCTTCATTTGTTCAGATTCACTCTGGGCAGGTGGTAGTTCACAAGATGGAGGTACATTTGTGAGCAGAATAAATATATAGTTGCTTATTATTTAATCTCAGAATTCTTTATTTTTAGGGTCTGGGACAATAACCTAGTGGCTGAATTCTCATCTTGTACATGCCAGGACCCCATGTGGGTACTGGTTCATGTTCTGGCTGCTCCACTTCCCATCCAGCTCCCTGCTTGTGGCCCGAGAAAGTAGTCCAAAGCCTTGACGGTCCAAAGCCTTGGGTCCCTGCACCTGTGTGGAAGACCCAGAGGAAGCTCCTGGCTCCTGGCTTTTGATTGGCTTAGCTTTAACCATTGCAGCCTCTTGGGGAGTGAACCAGCAGACAGAAGAGCTTTCTCTTTGTCTCTCCTTCTCTCCGTATTTTTTAGAATATTTTAAAAAAGAATAATTTTTAACTTCAAATGAGTTTAGCGAAGAAAACATCACTAGGGTGGATTAGTTAATTCAGAAACTCTTTCTTTTTTTCTTAACAAGTCAGTTCAAATCATCAGGTGGAGTCAAGCAAGATGATTTTTCGATCAGAGGAAGAGCCATGACCACTAAATGTGAGTATTAAGTTAGTGTTTAAGACATTGCTTAGGATGCCTGCATCCCATACAGGAACGTGTTGGTTCAAGTTCTGACTGACTTTGACTTCAGCTTTCTGCTAGTGCATGTCCTAGGGGCAGGAGGTGCCAGTTGAAGTACCTGGGTGCTTGCTACCCACATAGGAGACCTGGATTGTGTTTCCAGCTCCTGGCTTCATTCTAGCCTGGCCCTGGATGTTGCAAAGCAGTTAGGCAATGAATCACAAAATAGATCTCTTTCTTCCAGCAAACAAACAAAAACCAAAATCAAAACATTTAGACAGTTGGTAAACTTAAGCAGGATGTGAGGATTATATGGTAGTAACATTTTAAAATAGGGTCATTTTATTTTTGATGATGCTCAACTTTCTGTGGCTGCATAGTAGTTATTTAGGAAACACCCATATCCTTGCCTGAAGGAGACAGTATAGTCATCTGGGGCACTGGGCAGACAACTTGCTCTAAATAGTTCAGGGCCAAAGTGGTTCTTTTGCACCATACTGGCAATGGTTTTGTAACTTTGATTTTGGATAATGAGAAAATGTGATGAATGCACAGGTTAAACGGGGTGCAGGTGTGAGGAGTCTAGGCGTCATTTTGAGCAAGAGGCAGTCTTACCAGAAGGCAACTGAACAGATGAGTCAAGCGGTGTTCTTGCCTTACACCAAGTGCCTTCTGAGCACACGGAGTCCTTGGTCTGGTCTACTAAAGGCCCTGCTTCTGTAATCCTTTTGCTGTAACTGTGTGCTGAAGGTATGCTGTTTGCAGGACTCTGGACAATGATTAGTGTTAGGGGCTGCATGGCCACCTGTGTGGATGGGATACTTAGAGTCTGGGTGGCCAGCTGCCAAATGTAGCTGAGGCTCAGGGAATTCTGAAGTTGAAGTTGACCTTTAAGCTCTTGGGGAGATATATTTGCCACGGTGGAAGAGCCAGACTATGTTCCATCTGCACCGTGTGTCGAGCGGGAAGAAGCCCTACACGCTAGTTAAATGGCAGGTGCCAGATCACCCAGCATTTTGGCCGCAGGTTTCCGTGCCAGCAGAGGGGGCGTGGCCGCGCAGGGCGGAGCGAGCGGTGGGCGTGGCCCCTTCGGCCCGGGAGGCGTGGCCGCGCTTCGGAGTGCTTGGCCAGCGCCTGGGGAGGCCACGCCTCTTCCGGTTCCCCTCACGGACTGGCTTCCTCGTGGGTTGGGGTAGGGGTGAGCTCCTGACTTTGGCATCCAGGTAGGCGAAATGACAGCGGAGGTGTTGCCCAGCGCGAGGTGGCTGTACTGTGGAGAGCCGGACAAGAACCAGAGAGCTGTGCTGGGTAAGGACGGCGGGGCTGGAGCAGAGCTCCCCGCAGCCCTCTCGTGCACCCCTGCGTCAGGCCTCTCCCCACCGCGTTCGGTCCCCCTCTTGCCTCTTTCCCTTCCAGGGAGCTCGGCCAGGATTCGTCAGTCACCCCTTCCCCTGCCTGTCCCTACCGCTGGGTGTGAGGACACCTCTGGGACCTCCTACATGCCCTCCCTGGCCTGGTCTTGCCTGCTCGGGTCCCTCTCTCCTGTGGGCGGGGACTCTAGGTCTGGACCAGGTCCCCCTCTGTGAGCCCCAGGTCTGGATCAGCCATCCCCCTTTTTGAGCCCCAGGTCTGGACCAGGTCCCTCTCTGTGAGCCCCCAGCTGGTCCCTCCAGTCACAGCGCCTCTCCAGGGGGCTTCCCCCACCTGCCCTTGTCTTGTCTCCCTGGTGGACTGGGACCTCACTAGAGGTCCCTAGCATATCCTGTGGTAATTCCTGGGCTGCACCCTCTTATTTATTTATTTTTTTTAACAGTCCAGTTCTCCAATGGGAAGCTGCAGAACCCAGGCAACATGCGCTTCACCTTGTATCAGAGCAACGACTCCAACAACCCCAGGAAGAGAGGTCAGCGGATCCTGGTAAGGGTCATGGCTGCCAGCTGCCTGCCTCCTCACCCCCTCCAGTGTGGGTGGATATGAGTGGGGAAAAAAGAGGGATTGGCAGATGGGGAAGGCTCAGAGCAGAGTGTGCCCAGTGAGAGGAGAGGTCTGCTGGCTAGAAGCTGTTTCTGGCGGAGGGAAGGGTGGGCAGCCAAGGTTGGGTGTGTAAGTGAAGAGGATGACAGGAATGAAAAGCGGGAGCAAGAATGCTGGGCTACCAGGAGGTGGCTAGCAGGATAACTTGGTTGCATACCGTGGCCCTGTCTGCAGTCCTGTGACGCCATCCCCCACTTTTCAGACCTGTTACAAGCCAATGCTGTCTGAGGCTTTCCTTTACAGATGGCCCCTACTTCCCCCTCTGCCATTTCCTTGGGAGATGATGAGGCTGGCCCATCTCATCCACTGTGGTTCTGGGTTAGACGTCTTGGCAAGTGTCGGGGCGAGAGGCAGGATGCGGGAAGCACCTGTCCGCATCAGCTGTCAGTGGAGTGCTCCTCTCTCTTTCAGGCCGCTGAGACAGAGAGACTTTCCTATGTGGGAAACAACTTTGGGACTGGCGCCCTCAAATGCAACACACTGTGCAGGTAATGCTGGGGGAGGGGCGTGGTGGGCAGCTCTGGCCTTTTTCCCCGGCTTTGAGGTGCAGTGCGAGAGATGCAGGGAGGTCTGTCTGCCAAGTGCCCGTGTGCCTGTAGTCCGGGCTCTCAAGCCTGCAAATACTCTCAGAAGGAAATGGTTTTGTTTGTTGAGTTTTCTGAAAAATAACACGGGACAAAACCCCCCACCTCCTTCACTTGTAACATCATTCATTTACGATTGTCTTACCTGCCCTGGCAGCTCTAGCCATTAGTTTGGAATGTCTGATCACTAACGGCTCAAACCTCACCTGACATCAGTCAGCTTTGGAACTAAAACAGTACAAGAAAAGGGTTTGCTAGGCTGAGGCTCTTAGGCACGGGGCAGAGGAACCTGGGGCTTCCGTCCAGCCCTGTTGCTGACTGACTGAGTGATTGGGGGCAGCTGTGCCTTCCACTGGCCCCCTACTCCTCACTCTCCTCTGTGCAGGGAGGACTGTCCCTTGCCTGAACAAGCCGTAACTCTTAGGGACGGGGCGCAGTATAGACAGGGCCCCTGGTCTGGTACCAGTGGTGAACCACCAGGAAGCTTTCACTGGATCAGACTGCTAGCGGGCCGACTGATGAGCTGAGCCCGAATCTGTATCCTGCTCCATCCCTTTACGGAACCGCCCTGTCTTAGCGTGGGCTCCTACCCAAGACAAGGCTTGGCTTGTATTTGTCACCACAGAAGGTGTGTGCTAAATTTTAGTGTCATTCTAAAGTTTTTCACACCCAAAGGGCTTTCTGTTATAACACTGAGGCCACGTGGGATAAGGGGCTGTGGTATTGGAATCACTTGGTAGATTTTCTTTTCTCCAGGACCACCTCACGCTCCTTCCTTCCCACCCCATTCCCGTTTATATCTCCATGTGGAGGATTTCCGCTGTGGAGGATCAGGGCTGCTCATTCCTCAGATGTGCTGGGGCAGAAGGCAGGTCAGGAAGGTTTAACTAGGAAGAAGGCCATTGCAGAGACAAGTTTTTTTTTTTAAGATTTATTTATTTTTATTGGAAAGTCAGATATACAGAGAGGAGGAGAAAGGGAGATCTTCTGTCTGCTGATTCACTCCCCAAGTGACTGCAACGGCTGGAACTGAGCCCATCCAAAGCCAGGAGCCAGGAACTTCTTCCAGGTCTCCCGTGCGGGTGCAGGGTCCAAGGCTTTGGGCCGTCCTCAACTGCTTTCCCAGGCCACAAGCAGGGAGCTGGATGGGAAGCTGAACCAATATGGGATCCTAGCACATGTAAGGCGAGAACTTGCTGCTAGGCTACTGTGCCAGGCCCCAAAACAAGGCTTTTTAAGGGATCTGTTGTCACCAGCATTATTCCTCCTTTATCCAGGCACTTCGTGGGCATTTTGAACAAGACCTCTGGCCAGATGGAAGTGTATGATGCTGAGCTGTTCAACATGCAGCCCCTGTTTGCAGGTGGGTTGTGGTCGTGAAGGTCACAGAAATACTGTGAATTCTGGGTTTGCTTGACAAGTTTTGGGTTTGGGTTTTTGATTTGTAAAGTACACTTTGCCATGCATCTTAAAAGGAGGCAGTTCTTTTTATTGGAAAATTTTAGAATTTTTTGTTTTGTTTTCATTCAACATTTGTTCATTTGCTGTGAACTTAGAGAGCTGTGGATGTAGCCATGGGCAAGTCAGACCTCACCTGGTTCCCGTTGTGTTCATCAGTGTGTACAGAACCCAAGAGCAAGTGGCACGCTGATCAGAACAATTAGAGGACACTGCTGAGAGCAGATTCCCTGCTCGCGAAGGCCTTTTGTAGTTCTTCACTGGCTAAGCTGGGGATTGGATTGGTTTGTTTTTGGAAACTGATTAACAAGATACCTGAAGCTGGGTCACATGCTCAGGAAGAGGCACAGCCTTCAAAGACATGTCACTCATTCACTTTTGCTCCGAGTTTTGTTGGAGGCTGAAATGCCAAATGTCCTGCCCCTGGCTCTGGTGAAGGTCCCCTGGCTGCGCCCCCTTGCAGCCGAGGGACCTGGGGAGGATCAGTGTGATCGGGAGGCCCCGTTGATGGGTTGGATACTAGCTGTTATTTGGCTGAGCGCTGTCTGTACTGTATGACCCCAGTTTTCGCAGCTTCTCTCCTGTGCCCCAGCTGGGGATGCTCAGGGCTAAAGTGAGGTCTTCCAAGGTGATAAATAAGGGGGCTGGACTCTTGAGTGGCTCCTGCTCCCTAAACCTTTAAACTCCAATCTGAGCACCGTGGCAGGGGAATGTGTCAGATAAGGAAGGGTCCCTGGGACGGCGTGAGGCTGCCTGACACGGCCACGGCATTTGTCTGGATTTTATTCCCTCCGACAGCAGTTTCTCCCTTCCTGAGACTCTGATAAGGACCTGGACCTATTTCCCAGAAACAAGCAGAATGTACTGACATAGATAGTATGGGTTTGACGCCTAAGTTGAAAATGCTCTGGAGCTGGAGTGTCCATATATGAATTCTTTAGAAAGATGTAATCATGTACTTGAGAAAGCAGAGTTACCGAGAGGGTGAGAGAGATCTTGCATTTTCTGCTTTATTCCATAAATGGCCTCAGCATCCAGGGCTGGGCCAGGCCAGGAGCTTCATCTGGATCTCTGATGTGGTTGCAGACAGGGGCCCATGGTTTTGAGCAGTCTTCCACTGCTTGCTTTCTCAGGCACATTAGTAGGGAGTTGAATTGGAAGTAGAAGAGCTGGAACTTGACCTGGTGCCTGTATGGGATGCTGGTGTTGCAGGCAGTGCCTTAACTTGCTGTACCACAGCACTGGTCTCAGAGTGTGAATTTTATGTTCAAAAATTCCTGCTTTGCTGGGGTTGGCACTATGGAGTAGTACGTTAGACCTCTATATGTGGTGCTGTATGGACATCCTATATAGACACCAGTTCAATCCCCAACTGCTCCTTCCAGTCCAACTCCTCATTTTCTTGGAAAGTAGTGAAAGTCAACCTAAGTTCTTTGGGTCCTTGACCCACATTTGAGACCTAGAAGAAGCTCTAGGTTCTTGGCTGTTGCAACTATTTGGGGAGTGAACCAGTGGAAGGATGCCTGTCTTTCCTTCTCTGTAAGTCTGCCTTTCAAATTAAAGTACAAATTAAAGTAATCTTTCTTTATTTTTTAAAAGGATTTATTTATTTTTGTTGGAAAGGCAGATATACAGAGAGAGAGACAGAGGGGAAGATCTTCCGCCCCCTGATTCACTCCCCAAGTGGCTGCCATGGTTGGAGCTGAGTTGATCCAAAGCCAGGAGCCTGGAGTCTCTTCCAGGTCTCCCACACGGGTGCAGGGTCCCAAGGTTTTGGGCCATCCTTGACTGCTTTCCCAGGCCACAAGCAGGGAGCTGGATGGAAAGCAGGGCTGCCAGGATTAGAACTGGTGCTCATATGGGATTCTGGCGTGTTCAAGTCAAGGACCTTAACCACTAGACTACTGCACTGGGCTCTCTTTATTTTTTTTAAAGAATCTCCTGCTTTGCAATTAAATTTAACAACATTTAAAATATATATTTATTTTATTTTATTTTTTTAAAAAGATTTATTTTTATTATTTTTTCATTGGAAAGGCGGATATACAGAGAGGAGAGACAGAGAGGAAGATCTTCCGTCCAATGATTCACTCCCCAAGTGAGCACAACGGCCGATGCTATGCTGATCCGAAGCCAGGAGCCTCTTCCGGGTCTCCCACGCGGGTGCAGGGACCCAAAGCTTTGGGTCGTCCTCAACTGCTTTCCCGGACCACAGGAAGGGAGCTGGAAGGGAAGTGGGGCTGCCGGGATAGAACCGGCGCCCATATGGGATCCCGGGCATGCAAGGCGAGGACCTTCACCACTTGCACCACCGCGCCGGGCCCCTATATATTTATTTTAAATCATCCTCCAGATGTTCCTTTAAATTCTAGAGAGGCAAGGAGAATTATATATCAACTTGTTCATTAGACAATTTTGAAAATTTCATATTCCTGAGGCAGAGAGAGCTGGTTTGCTTTCTGTATGCTGGTGAAAGCTGGGGTGGGCCAGGAAGTCAGCCTGGCCCCCGACATGGGTGGTAGGACCCCGTTAACTTGAGCTGCCCCTGCTGCCTCCCATGGGGTACATCTGCAGGAGCTGGAATCAGGAGCGGAGCTGGGACTTGTACGTGGGCGCTCTAATATGTGGGCTGCCACAGATGTTCGCCCCAGATGAACTGCTGAACGATGCCCCTAATGTTTGTAAGGCCTTATAGTTGGCTATGTTCCTCCCTCTCCATTCTTTGGTGTTTTGTGTTTCAAACAGATGATTCCATTGAGAGTGGACACACAGCAGAGAATCAGAACAAAACTTTCAGAGAAAAGGTAAGATGGTAGAGTTGAGGTGTGAGGCCGAGGCAGACCCCCTCCTGGGCTTTGGGCTCCCTCAACGGTACGATGGGCTGAAGCTCGGGCTTTCCCAGGCTGCCCCTGGCCCCTTCAGGGTCTTTATGTCTGGACGGTGTCTATCCACTGAGGCCTCAGAGGTCTCCCAGAGACCAGGCCTGGCCCTGCATGGGGCAGCTGAGTGCTGCTGGTGCCGGGGTTGGGAACCAGTTCTCTCAGGGTGTTGCGGCTTTAGGATTTAGTCCAAGATTCAGAAAACAATTGTTTGTGTCTTGGAACTTCCACATTAAAATAAAGTGAATTTTAGGGCTTGCTTTTTTTCTTTTTTTTAAAGATTCATTTTTATTAAAAAGCCAGATTTAGAGAAAAGGAGAGACAGAAAAATCTTCCATCCACTGTTTCTCTTCCCAAATGGCTGCAGCAACTGGAGCTGAGCTGATGTGAAACCAGTAGACAGGAGCTTCTTCCTAGTCTCCCACGCAGGTGCAGGGTCCCAACGCTTTAGGCCATTTTCCTCTGCTTTCCCAGGCCACAAGCAGGGAGCCGGATGGGAAGTAGAGCAGCCGGGACACGAACCTGCACCCATATGAAATCCTAGCACTTGGAAGGAGAATATTAGCCAGTTGAGCCATTGCACTGGGCCCTAGGATTTTCGATGTAGAAGGTCCCTGTCAGGGTCATCTCACTCCAGGATAGCGGACTGATTGACTGTTTTGTGGTCCCTGGAGCACCTAATTGAGAAAGGGATGTGAGGAGCGCTTCTGGCTCAGTGGGAGAGTGAACTGTTCACAGAGTAGGGTGGGAGAAGGGCAGGCTGTGTGCTCTGCATTTTCCAACCCTAGTTCTGGCAGCGTGTTTGCTGATAGAGACACACTGAGGATGTGGTAGGAGGCTCTTTAGGCTTACAAAATCACACAAAGCCTGTGAGAATACTCTGCTGAGATGGCTGTCCTAGGAGGTGACAGTGGCTCTGTGGGGCTGTGTGTTTCCTGGGGTTACACAGGAATCACGGCACCTACCTGGGCTGTCCCCAGTGACCAGGGTTGTCCCTTGCACAGATGGACTCTTGCATCGAAGCCTTTGGCACCACCAAACAGAAGCGGGCGCTGAACTCCAGGAGGGCAAACCGAGTCGGCAGCGACTCTCTGAACCACGCAGTAGCTAAAGCTGCAGAGAGTATCATTGACAAGAAGGGTGTGGATGGTAAGCAGGCGGCACTGGGACCCAGCCACACAGCTTCCCCTGAGCTCCCTTCCTCCTGTCCCCCTGTCCCTGGGAGAACAGGAGTAAAGGCTGCATTGTTCCTGCTGCTTGGTGAGGGCCTTCTCAGGGCCAGACTTGGGAACTCAGAAGGAGCATCCAACATGGCCCTGCTCGGTGGCTCATGGTCCAGTACAGGGTGGCAGGCTTCAGGGTAAGGGGATGGGCGTGCCCAGCTGCTAGCCTAAGGTGACGGGCTGCAGGGCATGGAGGAGACAGAAGGCTGCAGGGCTGTGAGAACCATGTTGGCTTTAGTCAGAAGGCTGGCATAATGATGGAAGGGAACCTCGCAGGAGCCTTTGTGTTGGTGTGAAAGGCTGTTTTTATTCTGATCCTTGGCAGCTTGCATACTTAAATGTGCAAAAATATTCAAGGAATATGAGAGGAAGTTTTTCTGAGATTAGCTTTTCTACTAAGGATGGATTTTTTTGGGAGGGAGGGGTTGGGCAGGGAGGTGAGCACTTGGCCTGGCAGGCAGGCTGCTGGTTAGCACACTCATGTCCCCTGTCAGAGAGCCTGGCTCCAACACCGGGCTCCACTTACCAATCCCAGCTTCTGGGTAACAGGGACCTGAGGGGCCACACTGATGCCCCTGGAAATGGGGCTCCTGTGCCCCATGGGAGACTCTTGGCCTTGGAGTCTGCTGGGAGGATGAGGCGGTGGATGGGAGCTCACCGCATTCTCTCTGTGTATGTCTTGCTCACCTATCAGATGGATAAATAAGAAACAAGTTCTGTAGCCTATGATTTTAGAAAATTGTCTTTCAGTACTTTTACAGTTTCATTTTTGACACTTATGAAGTCTGTGAAGTTTTTTTTGGTATACTGTGTACATCAAACTTTATATTTTTCAAATAAGTAATTGTTCTGAACTCCATCCTCAGGTCATTTTTTTTTTTTAAGTTTTTATTTATTTGAAAGGCAGAGTGATAGGGAGAGACAAGGAGAGGTCTTCCATCTGCTGGTTCCCTTCCTAGATACCTGCAATAGCTGGGGCCAGGCCAGGCTGAATCCAGGAGTCTGGCACGTCGTCTCACTTGCCCATGTGGGTAGAAGGGGCCCAAGCAGGAAGCTGGGTTAGAAGCGGGAGTAGCTGGGACTTGAACCTTTGCCTCTGGGGGATGCAGCTTAATGTGCTGTGCCCTAACACCTGCCCCTACAGAGGTGATTTTGTTTTTTAAAAAAGACTTATAAAAGGTAGAGAGAGAGAGAAATCTTCTGTCTGTTGGTTCACTTCCCAAATGGCTGTAACAGCTGGAGTTCGACCAGTCCAAATCTAAGATCTGGGAGCTTCTTCCAGGTCTCCATGTCAGTACATGGGCCTGAGAACTTGGGCCATCTTTGTTGCTTTCCCAGGCACATCAGCAGAAAGCTGGATTGGAACTGGAGCAGCCTGGATTAGAACAGATTCCCGTGTGGGATGCTGGCACTGGAAGCATTGGCTTAACTTTCTATGTCACTGTTCTAGCCCCCACAGGTGATTTCTTTCTTTCTTTTTTTAAGATTCATTTGTTTATTTGTATTTAAAAGGAAGAGTTAGAGAAGGAAAGACAGAAACCTTCCATCCACTGATTTATTCCCCAAAAGGCCACGATGGCTGGAACATCTTCCATCTGCTGGTTGAGTTGGGACTGATAGGACAAGAATCCACATCTTTATAATATTGTGTTTTTCTATTCAGAAACACAGAATTAGTTCGCCTCATTTATTGTAAGTGAATTGAACAGCTTTCTTTTTTAAAAAGGTTTATTTTTATTGGAAAGACATATATACAGAGAAGAAGATCTTCCATCCTCTGGTTTACTGCCCAGGTAGCCACAACAGCTGAAACTGAGCCCATCCAAAGCCTGGAGCCAGGAACTTGTGCGTCTCCCATAGGAGTGCACGGTCCCAAGGCTTTGGTCATCCTCTACTGGTTTCCAAGGCCACAGCAGGGAGCTGAATGGAAAATAGAGCAGCCAGGATACGAACTGGCACCTATATGGGATCCCAGTGGATGCAAGATAAGGATTTAGCCACTAGGATACCACACCGGGTCCTAACAATTTTTATTAGGTTTACCTTTGAGTACTTAAAGTCACTTGAAAATCACAGTAGTCTTTCCCTATTTTCTTCTTGGACCCTGTTTGTATGCACACTAGTGGTTCTCTGTAGAGGATAGTTGGGATTCTATATTTTGATTTTTTTTTTTTTACACTCAACAGTGTGTGGTGAGATTTGACTTAGAAGTGAGATCATTTATCCAGGCTCTTTTGGTGGACCCTCACATTTAGTTTTTCTTGTGTGGTGAATGTTTATTGACTCATTCCTTTTCCAGCCATTGCCGTCTGCTTGAGGGGCAACAGGCCACATTTACCTTTTCCTTGCCCAGCAGCATTTGTTTTGCCAGTAGGCATGGCGGTCCCTGAGTGGGCAGCCCCTTGGCGAGCTCAGATCATCCTGATAGAAGCCCTCAGGCGCTGGGGGTTTCTAGCCACTCATGTGTGGGTTGCAAAGAGCGCCGGGGAACCAGGAACTACCACGCGGGTGTTGACACTGCCTTGCTTTTCCCATAAAGCCCTCGTCGGTGACGCCATCCAGGATGAGTCGCAGGACGACTCCGTCTACCTCCCTCCGTGCCATGCAGATGCAGCCAAGCCTGAGGACGTGTATAAATTTGAAGATCGTATCCTCCTTGTTGGATAGAAAAGGTTGCTGGGATGTGGGCCTGAGACTGACCTGGCCAGGCTCTGTGAGGACAGCAGTGGCCTTGGTGTCACTGTTAGGAGTCAGCTGGACTTCCTCACTGCTCAGAGACCTCCCTGAGGTTAGGACAGATTCAAACCCATTCTGTAGCAAGATGTCAAAAGCCCGTAGTGGTTGGAGTTGGGGCTGCAGTGGCTCTCCACCAGCTGGTAGAGTGAGACTTTGGAGCTGGCCAGTGCCCAAAGCCTGGGGTTGATGGATTTTATGACAGGAAGGGGTAGAGCTTCAGAGTTTGCTGTTTGCTGGGTCAGGTTGGATGGGGAATGCTTAGGGCAGCTGCGTGACTGGGAAGAGAAGGCAGGGAGTGGTTGTGGGCTTCGAGGTAGAGTTGGGTCCCCATCCCTGCTTTGCCCAGTGCTATGCTCTTCTGTCTTCTGGTCTCAGGCCTCAGCTTTCCTGTCTAAGATGAGGTCCTCATGAGACGGCGCAGCCAGCTGGAGGCTTCCATGCTGGTCAGACCGTGTCCTTGACCTCTAACTAGTTCTCTCTCCTGCGGAGTACGAAGCTCTTCAGGGCCCTTCTGAAGCCTTCAGGAGCGTCACAGCAGAAGATATCCTAAAAATGGCCGAGGAGAACAGGTACGGGGGCTGGGGGATGGGATCTGGGAGCAGCAGACGGGTGGCTGGGGCCTCACCATCCCTTGGTGAGGAGAGAGAGCGTGTTTGTGTGTGTGTGTGTGTGTGTGTGTGTGTGTGTGTGTGTGTGTGTGGCACCGGCTGCAAGTGAGCCACTGCCTTCTGGGCCGTCAGGGCTCGTGGAGCTGTGGGTGGATTCCAGGAAGCCCACTGGCCTCCCTGCGACTGGGCCAAGGGTGACGAGGCACTGTGGCGTGGGGCTGCACACCCCAACCAGACCACGTGCCTGGTGCCGTGCTGATTCTGAGCATGGCCAGCTGTGCCCAGGTGCTACGCAGGCCGGGTGCCAGGCCGAGTGATGGTTCTTGGTGATAAAGTCTGGGGGGGGCTTCCCTACAGGGAAATTTGTGTATTTAAAGGAATTCAGATTATTCCCCCTTCCCTTTTGCCATTGAAATGCTTTGCGTATGTAGAGGATTTTTGCTTTTGAGTTTTCCCTTTTCATACTCTCAGTTGTGAAAGCTATATTGGCTTTCCCAATTTTTGTTTTTGTTTTTGCTTTTCAAAAGATGTATTTATTGATTGATTTGAAAGGTGGCATGACAGACACACACACAGAAAAATCTTCCATCCGCTGGTTCACTCTGCAGATGCTTGCAATAGCTGGGGCCTTATGAGGAACAGGGACACCCGTGTTTGGGTCAGTTGCCTGTTGCCTCCCAGGCACATGGCAGGAATCTGGATTGAAGCACAATAGCAAGGATTTGCACTAGGCACTGTAGTATGAACTAAGGCAGCCACGTGGCAGCTTAACCTACTGTGCCACAGTACTCACTCCTAATTTTTATTTTGAAATTTTACTGGTTAGTGAAATCTAAAGTGCTTTTTCTTTTCCCTCCTCCAAAGATTTATTTCTACAAGCCATTACTGGTTCCTAGCTGTGCTGATTTGGTTGTGGCTTGGACAGGTGCAGCCACAAACTCTGGGCTGGTAGTTTAAGCACTGAGTCTTTGAGCTCTGCCCTGACGTTACTGTGTGAGCTTCCCTCAAATGAACCTCAGTTTCCCCACCTGTAAAATGAGCCACTGTGAGCTGGATCTTGAGCCTTTTCATCTCTGCGAGTCCAGGATCCTGAGAGCGGAACAGAACATCAGAATAGCTAGTGTGTGCTGAACTCTGCCCTGGAGCTGGAACTGTGCTGGTGCTTTGCTTGCCTTTTCCTCCTTTAATGGAGAAAGAGCCTTCAGGGACAGATGCTGTCCTCAGCCCCGGCTACAGATGAAGAAACAGAGGCACGGAGGTGCTGAGAGGTCTGCCTAAGTCTACATGGCAGAGGACATGCCAACCCAGGCAGTTTGCTGCATAAGCCAACACTCCCAGCACCTAATTCATGTGTCAGTGACATGACCTACTTGTGAATAGATAGTTTTATTAAAACACAGCCCCTTTCACATAAGTGACATTTTTGGCTGGACCGGATATTGTGATACAGTATGTCAAACTGCTGCTTGGGACTCGTGAAGTCTGTATCGCAGTGCTGGTTTGAGTCCCAGCCATTCTGCTTCCAATCTGCCTTCCTGCCTGTGTGTCTAGGAAGGCGGCCCTTGACAGCCAAGCACTTGGTGGAGTCCTGAATGGTATACCTGGCTCCTAGCTTCAGCCTGGCAGCCCTGGCTGTTATGGGCACCTGGGGGGGATGAGCCAGCTGCTAAACAATCTCTCCCTGAGTCATCATCTCTTTTTTTTAAAGATTTATTTATTTTTATTGGAAAGGCAGATACACAGAGAGAAGGAGAGACGGTGAGAAAAGATCTTTTGTCTCTTGGTTCACTCCCTAAGTAGCTACAATGACTGGTGTTGAGCCAGTCCGAAGCCAGGAGCCCGGAAACTCTTGTGGGTCTCCTACATGGGTGCAGGGTCCCAAGGCTTTGGGCCATCCTCAACTGCCTTCTCAGGCCACAAGCAGGGAGCTGGATGGGAAGTGGAGCTGCCGGGATTAGAACCAGCACCCTTGTTGGATCCTGGCATGTTCAAGGCGAGGTCTTTAGCCACTAGGCTGCTGCGCCAGCCCCCCCCCCCTTTTAAAGATGATATTTGTGGATGCTTTGCAGAGATAGTGCAGTTGGAATAAACTGTGTGGCCCTCGTGGCCCGTGCTGTACCACAGAGGTGTTCAAAGTGTTGGCTTCCTGCATGTGGCATGTGTGTCGGGGTAGATGGGATTGGGTGGTTCCTAGCTGAGCCGCCCTGACACACGCTTGCCTCCTCCCTCGTTGTAGGCACTGCTGCTTTGTCCTGGAAGCCTTAAAGTCTCTGCCATCGGATGAGGAGAGACGAGACCACCAGGCTCGATGCATATGGTTCCTGGATGCCCTCATCAGATTCCGAGCTCATAAAGTGATTAAGCGGAAAAGTGAGTTCCTGCTGGACACTCTGGTCCAGTTATTCCTGACCTGTTAGCTGTCTGTTAAGGCTGCCATCCACTCTCATGAGAGGAGCAGCAGGCCCTGCGGCTGGGCTGGGCAGCCGGGCAACTCCCAGCACTGGTGACGCTGCTGCCCTGAGGGCTGCTCTGCTATATGGGCTTTCCTACCCCGGATTTCTGTTCATCTGAAAATGGGGGCTGCTGGGGTGGTGTGATTGCTCAGGGGCTCTCCAGAGTTGGCCTTCAGCTGCTCTGCTACATTGAATGTGAGTTTTGGGGACCATCAGAGTGTCTGTGAGCCAGGGGGAAGGACGCAGGCGGTATGGCAGGGCAGTACAGCTGGTCAATGGTAGGTCAGCTGCTTTCTCACCTGAGCTGGCTTCTCCTGGCTGCCCAGCACCCCCGCAGCCGGCCCACCGCTCAACCCAGGCCCTGTGGTGTTTAGCCCAAGGTGTATCTACCTTCACTGTGACTAATACTCCTCTCTTGCTCTCTCCCAGGCTTTTTTCTAGAATCAGCTTTATTCTGCCATTTCATGTTCAATCTTCATGCTTTGGCCTCAGTTGATGGTTTTCCTTCATGGTCCTCCCACAGCATCCCCGGGAACGCGGGACGTGCAGGCTGGAGTGTACCCAAGCATACCTTCACGCTTAGCAGTTCTCGTTTTCCTCGGGTGGGCCGCCTCCTGCCGCACGGCGCCATCGTCGCAGTGGCTGGGTCTCTGGGCTTCTCTCCTGGTTCTTGGGCCAGGCAAGATCTCGGGGTTTGGAAGGAAATGTTCATACACCTCTTCTGTGTTCTAGGTGTTCTGGGACCTGGAGTCCCCCACATCATCAGCACCAAACTGCTGAAGCAGTTCTCCTGCCTGACCTACAACGACGGCAGGTTGGGCCTGGCTCCCTGGGGTCTGTGTCTGTCCATGGCAATGCAAGTTAGGGTTGGGCTTCAACTCCCCATCTGTGGAGGAGGGGGTGGTTCTGGAGCCAAGTAAGCTGAGTGTCCCATGCTCCACCCCACTAAGGGGGCTTTGGTAAGCACTCCTCCATAGGGGGACTTCCTCCACATACTTCTTCCAGGGGTCTGGCCTGCTGCCCACGGAACTGGTGCTTGGGGAAGGCAGCACTGCTGACCCAATGGCTTTGGGGACAGAACCCCCAGTGCCACCCCTGGGCTGCCATCCTACCCTTTGTTGGGAGTGCATTTCCCGGCCGTAGCAAGGTTGGGAGAATCACTAACGACTGAGTGTGGGATGACTGTCCGGCTGCCCTTCTCAGCAGGCTTTCACTGCTGTGAGGCCTGGTGCTGTCAGGGGAAAGTGCCGGTTCACTCCGTTTGTCCCAGTGCTGGCACCGGCCCACCAGGCACTGCATGGGGGCCTGGGCGCTGTGGGAGCACAGGTGGGCCTGCCTGCGGTCCACACGGGCCCTAGCCTGGATGTTCTTTTGTTTTCCAAGAAACTGACCTCAGGTTTACTTTTTATTTCCCCTTTATTGCCATCGCTGTTGCAGTTTACGGAATGTAATTTCGAACTCTATGAAGGCCAAGATCACTGCATACGTGATCATTCTTGCGTTGCACATAAATGACTTCCAGATTGATCTGACCATGCTGCAGAGGGACCTGAAACTCAGTGAGAAGAGGTGAGTGCCGGGGAGTGATGGCCCCTGCAGATCCGAGCAGCCCCCACTCTGCTGCTGCCGCCATGGAGAGGCACTCTGTGGGGTTCCCAGGCTGTTGGCTGCATTAGAGCCCAGCTGTTGCTTTCTCCTAGTCGGATGGAGGAGGCTTCAAGGCAGGGCAGTCTGGCTGACAGGAATGTCACAGTCAAGCTTCTCAAATGATGGGGGAGCTTGGTGAGATGGCCTGGCCTCACAGGCTCCTTGTCATGTTAGAGCTGATCAGACGGGGATGGAGCTTCCTGTGTCGTGTCCATGGGTGGGTGATGGTGCAGCCTCTAACAGCCTTGCCTGCACTCCTCTGGCAGGTCTTGGAGGATCCTGAGGGTGGCATTCCCACAGGCAGTGAGAGCCTGCAGTCTGTCACATTCCAGCCAAGAGACCCTCCTGGTTGCTCTTATCAGTTGGTGCCAGGGCTCCAGAGAGCCTGGGTTCCTTTCATCTATGGATAGTTTCTTCCTTTAAAAAAAATTATTTGAAAAATAGATTTAGAGGAGGGAGAGACAGATCTTCCATCTGCTGGTTCATTTCCCAGACAGCCACAGTGGCCAGTGCTGGGTTAGGCCAAAGACAGGAGCCAGGTGCTTCATCTGTGAGCGCGGGGGACCCAGCACTTGGACCACCTTCTGTTGCTTTCCCGGTCACATTAGCAAAAAGTGGATCCGAAGTGGAGTAGCTGGGATACAAACCAGTGCTCATATAGGATATCGGCATCAGAAGCAGTGGTTCTGCCTTCCACACCACGATGCTGGCCCTAATCTATGGATGCTTTCTAACAGCAGCACAGTGGTGACGTCTGTTGGCTTTGAGGGGCAAGTGGGGTCTCGCCCACTTCGGCTTTGCTCCTGCTGGCCACTTGTGGGACATTGTCTTCCAGGCCTGGTCATGCAGGTGCTGCTCCCTCCAGCAAATGGCCCTCAACGGTGACCCATCCTCAAGGTTTTCTGCCCGCTTGTTCTGTTTCTCAGGATCATGGAGATAGCCAAAGCCATGAGACTGAAGATCTCCAAGAGAAAGGTGTGTCTGGCACCCGGCCAGGAGGAGGAGCGCAGAGTAGGCACTCTGTGCATCCCGCTGCCTGCAGCCCAGACCGCAAACCACCAGGCCAAGCGCAGGAGAATGACCTAGAGGCCAGCACACTGGAATCGCTGCTGTGGTGTGGATTCTGCTTTTGCTTTTTAAAAAGAAAGGATAGAAGTCTTGCCTTGGCAGGAGTAAGATGCCACCCTCCCAGTTGTGCCTGTCTTTTGTAGAAACTTATTAAAGCCGTGATGGCTGGGGTGTCCCCCTCTGTTGGTGTCAATGAAGTTGTATGTACATGGCGCTGCTTCTTGGCTTGCCCCACCTGTGTGGAGATGGGGTGGGGCGGGAGAATCCGGACCAGCAGTTGGAAGATCTCAGCAGGCTGGACGAGGAGCCGTGTTGAGTGGTGAAGGTGTCTGAAGAGAAATGTCAAGTGCAGGCCTAGGTTGGGAAGGGGTGGGCGGGTGTGGGCATGTGTGTGAGAGAGATCAGGAGGTATGTGTGCACGTGTGTGAGATCAGGAGGCTTCTGCCTTGGTTCGGAGCTAGCTGGGGGTTACCAGCAGGATGAGGTGGCTGCCACATGCTTGCCAAGAGGGATTTTTTAAGATTTTTTTCTTTTTAGTTAAAATTTTTTTCTAAGGATTCTGTCATATTACTTGAAAGGCAGAGTTACAGAGAAGAGAAAAATCCTCTACCTGCTGGACTATTCAAAGGCCACAACAGCCTGAGTTGAGCTGGTCTGAAGCAAGGAGCCTGGAGCTTCCTCTGGGTCCTCCCGTGCCCTTGCAGGTGAGCTTTCTCAAGTGCATCAGAAGGGAGCTGAATTGGAAGTGCACAGCAAGGACCCCAAACCAGTGCCTGTATGTGATGCTGGCACCACAGGCTGAGGCTTAACCATCTGTCTTGGCACCTGTGCACTCATGCACACACATACCTTTAGTTTCGTTTATTTGAAAGGCAGAGTTAGGGTTGGGCAGGAGAGAGGGCAGTGGAGAGAGACCTTCCGCCAGTAGAGCCATTTCCTAAATAGCCACAATGGCCTGCAGGATACATTAGCCAGAGGCTGAGAGGCCAGCGTTGAGGCTTAACAGTTTATACTTCTGCCTGCTGCCGAGGCTAGAACTGGACACTGATATGGGATGCTAGCATCTCAAGCAGCCACTTAGCCTGTTATACCACAACAGCCATTTTTTTTTGAGAATATTTTTAGATCATTACTATAAAATAGTGTTTGCTAATATACATTTTAATATGCTTTTAATAAAAATATCCTGACTCAGATGGAGTTTGGGGCTCTTAGTTTGGGCCTGGCCAAGTCCTGGCTATTGGGGTCATTTCAGGTGTGAATGAGTGGATGGATGATTCTTGTCAGCGTCTCTGCATTTCAAGTAGCTAGAAAGAAACAAAAAGTTCCTAGTTGGGATACTGGAATGGAAAAGGATATTTGGTACCTGAAGAAAAATGGAGTGCGATGCAGACCTTTAGTAGCCAGTGTGGCAGTACAGATATACAGCGCCATGTTGGCGGGAAGTCATCTTTGTATCTAAAAAGCTTCCAAAGGTGCTCTATTGATGAGAGATTTAAAGAAAAATACGGGGCCTGGTGTGGTAGCCTAGTGGCAAAAATCCTCACCTTGCACATGCTGGGATGCCATATGGGTACTGGTTCTAAACCTGGCAGCCCCACTTCCCATCCAGCTCCCTGCTTGTGGCCTGGAAAGCAATCTAGGATGTCCCAAAGCCTGCACCCACTTGGGAGATCCAGTGGAGGCTCCAAGCTCCTGCCTTCGGATTGGCTCAGCACTGGTTATTGCAGCCACTTGGGGAGTGAATCATTGGTTGGAAGACTTTTCTCTTTCTCTCCTTCTCTCTGTGTATCTGCCTTTCCAATAAAAATAAATAAATCTTTTTTAAAAAAAGATTTTATTGGAAAGTCAGATATACAGAGAGGTAGATCTTCTGTCCGATGATTCACTCCCCAAGTGAGCGCAACGGCTGATGCTATGCCAATCCGAAGCCAGGATCCAGGAACTTCTTCTGGGTCTCCCACACGAGTGCAGGGTCCCAAAGCTTTGGGCCATCCTTGACTGCTTTCCCAGGCCACAAGCAGGGAGCTGGAAGGGAAGTGGAGCTGCTGGGATTAGAACCGGCGCCCTTATGGGATCCCGGGTGCATGCAAGGCGAGGACTTTAGCCGCTAGGCCACGCTGCCGGGCCCAAATAAATCTTTTTTTAAAAAATAAAGAAAAATGCTAGGTGTGGCTTCTCAGGTGGCCTATAGATATGGCCCAACTGTGAGATGCTTTGGGGAAGGCAGTCAGATGTGCACCTGAGAACTGTCGCTCTTGGCCTTCACCAAGCCCCTGGGCAGGAATTACAGGCCCCAAAGGAGGCTGGAGGGTGCCGAGACCCTGGCTGGTGCGGCCCTGCCAACTCTCCTGGAAGCAGGAAGCAGTGGTACCTCTGAGAGGGTGGAAGGCATCTGGTGCCCTATGGCGCCAGCATTTACCCACATCAAGGAAGGTCCTCAAGTGCCTCTTAAAATATAGAACTTTATTTTGGTTACTGAAATTTTTTTTAACTTCACAGAAAAGTCATTTCTTATAAAATAATCAAGGCAGCATTTTGTACAGCAACTCACTGTGGCCACCAAACACAAAGTGCAGAGGGCGGTGCCGGGGGTGGCAGGGGCTGGTGCTCTCAGTCCCCAGGGAGAGGCCAGCACTCCAGGCTCCGTCTACCCCACCTCACCCAGCGAGGCAGCACCGAGGGCCTGACCGTAGTTACTGGGGAAGCCAAGTGCAGGCGGCGGCTGGCAAAGGCCCTGCCCGAAAGGCTGATTGGGAGTCTGTTAAGCTGGCCTCTCCCCACGTTGGGGGTGAACAAGCCTGGTGCTGGAGCCCTGGCTTTCCCGGTACCACTCAGGGAAGCCCCTGAGGAGCCAGCCTTTCTTTCCCGAGGCCAGGACTGGGAGACAGTAAGATGTAGCTCTCTGCCCAGGGAGCCCACGACTCGCAGGCACACCTGGAGAGCTCCAAGACAAGGCAGAAGGTGCTCAGGACCCTGAGGGGGGCTGTCATCTGGGGGCTGGGGGCAGAGGCAGTGTCTCAGCTGACCCTGGAGGAACAGGTGGCAGGAGGAGCATGCCAAGGAGGGGCTGAGCATGAGCCAAGGCACAGAGCGGAGACACAGGGCAGAAAAGGCAGGCGATGGCCCATGAGGACACAGGTACATACCAGGGCTCCGGGCACCTGCCTGGGGCCCTCACTGGGGATTTGGATCCTCCCTTGGGGGCAGGTACTGTGCTAATGTCCCCCTGGCTGGGGGTTTTGAGGACAGGAGCGCTGCCTTATGCACCCTTGCCTACCCCCTGCCTGCACACTGGAGCTGCCCGTCCAAGGTGCCTCCCTTACAAGTCCAAGTCTAGGACCTGTGTCCTAAGTAAACCAGCTGTACTGCTGTAGCCTCTAGGGGCAGCCAGGAGGGGGCGCTGGGGCCCTGCAGGACCAAAGGAGGGGTAGGCAGGTCCAGGGGAGAGGGCACCCCTCTGGAGTCCTGCCTCCCTCAGTGGTGAACCTGCACTCCCTGAGAAGAGGCCTGGCTTGGTGTGGGTCATGTGGCATTCCCCACGACCCCAAATCCCGATACACTGCTGAGACTCCCAGCTCTTGGGTATCTACAGAAGTGTGAAGAAACAAACAGAACATCAACAGAAAACCGTGCGTGAAGAAACATACAAATAAAAGAACAATAAAAAAAAAGTGCACAGGGGCTGGAAACCCCCAGCTCCTGCCGCTTCTCCCCGAGGTGTGTTTCCAAGCTCCATCTTCCCGAGGGCTGTGCAGCCAGAGGTGCAGTACCGTGCACAGGCCCAGGAGGCCTGGGTTCTGTGCTTTCAGGGGGTTGGCGAGGGGCTGTAGTCTTCTGTAGTGTGATTTTCATCCGGAAGGCTGAGCCCGAGGCAGCTGTGCATGCTTACAGGATGGTGCAGAAGATGCTGCGGTTGTTGTGGTAGCTGCCTTCCACACGTGCAGTGATCCTGGTTGCCATGGCTGTGACCTTCTGCCCTCCGGGGACTGCAGAGGGACCTCTGAGAGGATGTTCAAGGTGAGGCCGAGCAGGTGGGTTTACCAGGTGCCATGTGTCAGACCTGCAGGTGCAACCTGAGAGTCAGAAACTGCGAGGCCTGGGGCTTGTGCTAAAGGTCCACGCTGCCAGGCCTTTGCTGCAGATCACTGGGCTGGCCTCCTCAGTCACTGAGGGGTACGTGTGAGGGTGAGGGACCAGTACTGTATGCCAGCTCTGCCCTGCCTTCATTTGTGGGCCTCCGCTCTCCCCTCTTTAAATAAGAATAAGAATCTGGCTAGGGCCCGGTGTGATAGCTTAGTCGCTAAATCTTCGCCTTGCATGCACCAGGATCCCATATGGTCGGTTCATGTTCTGGCTGCTCCACTTCCCATCCAGCTCCCTGCTTGTTGCCTGGGAAAGCAGTAGAGAATGGACCAAAGCTGTGGAACCCTGTACCTGCATGTGAGACCCAGAACAAGCTACTGGCTCCTGACTTCGGATTGGCCTGCCATTGTGACCACTTGTGGAATGAACCAGTGGATAAAAGATCCTTCTGTCTCTTCTCTGCAAATCTGCCTTTCCAAGTAAAAATAACTTTACAGTTTAAAAAAAATGTGGAAAGGCAGATCAGATTTACAGAAAGGTCTTCCATCTGTTGGCTCACTCCCCGAGTGGCTGCAACAGTTGGAGCTAAGCTAGTCAAGAACGAGGAACTTCTTCTAGGTCTCCCACGCAGGTGCAGGGTCCCAAGGCTTTGAGCTGTCCTCTACTACCTACCTAGACCACAAGCAGAGAGCTGTATGGAAGTGGAGCAGTTGGGATAGGAACCAGCACCCACATGGGATTCTAGCACATGCAGGGTGAGGATTTAACCACTAGGTTATCACACTGGGTCCAAAAATAATTCTTAAAAAAGAATCTGGCTAAGGTCAGTGGATTTCTGAATGACTGTGAATGTCATAATCACCAAAAACTAGAAACTAGGGGTGGGTATCTGGCTAAGCAGCTAAGGCACTGTTTAGGATGCCCACATCCCGTACCAGAGTATTTGGGTTTAGTTGTTACTCTGCTTCCAAACCAGCTTCCTGCTAATTTGCATCATGAAAGGCAGCAGAAGATGGCTCCAATACATGAGTCCCTGGGACTTGCTACAGCTAAGGCTGGGCCAGGAACAGCACCTGAGTCTGCCACAAGAGTGGC